TCTCCTTGCTCAATTCTGCTTCCTTCCCCTTTTATATTTTATAGACATAACCCTTCCTCTTTCATTCTTAACTCCAACATCTGCTTCTCAGAGAACCTAACTGATATACTCACCCTTGAAACTCTGAACATTATGCACGTGACTTTTTTTTTTCCCTTTGCTTTAATTTTATTATTTTTTTAAAGGGAAGATTACATAAAAAGTATTCATACTCAGGCTGAGACCTGACCTACGTTTTCAAAAACCCCAGTCCCCAAGGTTCGATGTTCATAAGTTGAACTTTAACAACTACCTACAACTACTTCATTATCTTCTTCACTTAGAAGATTCTACTCATCCTTGAAATCTCAGCATAAATATCATTTCTCCCTGAAAGCTTTTCCCCAACCCTCTTGGTTTGAACTTTGCTAAACCCCCTTGTTATAGGCTCCTCAATTTTTCCTTTGGTAGGACTCATCAGACATGTAGTTGACAGTTCATGGTCAGCTGTGAACCTATGATCTCCATGAAGTCATGATCTAAAATTCTTGGTCCCCCAGCACTTAGGACAGTGTCTGAGCCATAGAAGCTTCTCAATAAATAATTTGATTGAGTGCTGAATTTGCTAACCTAAAGGTGTCAGATGTTGGCATGAGACCAGAAATGGGTATTTCTGCCTCCTCTATGCCCTTAGTTTTGAGACACCACTCTTGCTTCCTCATTGCAGTACAGACTCATAGAATTGAGTATTAGAAGAAACTTAAAAATTATCTAGTTTGAGTATCCCTCTGCCTGACGGTGAGGCAAAGGTGTAATGGCCACTGTAACAAGAAGGTATTGAGAGACAAGGCAGGCAACTCCATAGACTATAAAACAGAATTTATTATAGGGTAATTTACTTACAGGAATGTAGGGTTGGAGAAGACAGATAACCCAGCACTTCTGTGCGAATTATTCTCCACTAACAGACTCCTATTACAGTACTTTTTAAATAGTGTAACTCAGGTACAAATGATTGACAAGACCAAGAAGGCAGTAGTAGCACCAGGGACTGTACCTCTTGATGATCTCGTGACAGATGATTGTTTATTATCAGTGCAATCACCTGGTTGATATTTATCTCAGTTGTCATCTCATTCTGGCCATTATTAACAAAAATATTTATGACTACATTTTAAAGAACATAGATAATCATCAACTAGAAAGCTTTGATATGCTTGCTAAGGACAATAAGGTTGGTCAAAGGTCCAGCATGAAAACTTCAGGATACAAAGATGGAGTTGGTTTTGTTCACATCTATTTCTATATGCAATCCAATGCCAGAGATGTTGCAAAATATTCAAGCAAGTGATTTTCCAGTCTTAGTTTGAATAGCAGGGCCAGAAACTACTTCCCAAAGTCACCCAGTGTGTCCTGGACAGCTCTGACCATCAGAAAGATTTTTGATTCCCTGCACTTACATTCAATCTCATTTTCTATAGCTTTGATCTAGATCATATCCTCACAAAATGATTTAAAGTCTTTCCATAATATTAACAACCTCGATCAGCTCTCCAGTCCAAACTGCTTTTTTAAGAGGGTCAATTTTTTTCTTCCTCTAAATAAGTCTCTCAATTGGGAACATAACTGGCTTGAAATAGAAAGACTTAATTCACTCATCCATTCCAAAAATACCAGTTGACTGCTACAAGCATCTAGTATGGGAACCAGAAATGGTGGGGCATACGAGATGTCCCCAAAATGGAGTCTTTCTATGAAGATAAAGATGTTTATAAGATCAAATGATCAAACAACATAGGCACTTTCAAAGGCTGGATAAGGAGTGTTCTAAGAGTTCAAGGGAGGCGATATGCCTGGGAGGTCTGGGAACACAGAGGGTGAGGATTCTAGGAAGATTTCACTTAGGAAATGGGATCTGAGCTGAGTTGCTGAACAGGAAACATGAATCATTGGGTAAACCATCTTGACAATGAGGCTCAGAGAGAGAATTCTTCCTAAGAAGGATGGGGAGGGGCTTTGTGAGGACAGAGGAAGTTAGAGGGCTGGAGATAGGGTGAGAATTATTTCCCTCTCCTCAGTCATTGAATCTTGTAGCCTCCTGACAGTTTATCTTCTTCACAGTCTGGAGCTCAGGGCTGCTGCCATGGGGGCCCTTCTGTGGCTGCTCCTCCTCTTGCTGCTTCGGGAAGGTGAGAGAGACTGCAGCTCTGGGACAGAAGTGTATCCTTCCCACTCTGTTCTGTTCTGCTGGGCCTTGGGCTAGCAAGGCACCTCCTGTGGGGCTGAATGCTTTAGCTCTTCTGGAGTGAAGAGGAATAGGGTATGGCTTCAGGGCAGAACCAAGAGATGAGGAAACTTGGAGATATGAAAAGAAGAACAGCTCCAAGATGGCAAAAAGAGAAGGTAAAATTTGGAGGGTGAGGGCACAGATGGAAGCCAACCCCTGGTAGGGGCTCAAATCAGGTGCAGCAGAAAGCTAAAGCTAGAAGAGGCAGCTGTAGGACAAGATTGAGTGTGGGGCCATAGAAGCTACTCAACTGAGATTGAGACCAAGGCCCTGCTGCCAGGCTCAGCAGCCCAGAGACACTAGCTGGACTGTTTGCATCTCTTTTCTTCCTTTACCTGCAGTCAAAGGGGATTCGGGAGATGGTGTGGATTTCAAAGAAGTGGTTGCAGTACTTCAGGAGTCCATCAGCCTTCCCCTGGAAATACCATCCTCTGAAGAGGTTGAGGACATCATTTGGTCTTCTCACATAATGCTTGCCATTGTGGTGCCAGGGGAAGAGGGACATCCAGCTACTATCACGGTGACCAACTCTCACTACCAGGGTCGAGTGAGCTTCCTGGATCCCAGTTACTCCCTGCACATCAGCAACCTGAGCTGGGAGGACTCAGGGCCTTATCAAGCTCAAGTTAACCTGAGGACATCCCTAATCTCCACCACACAGCATTACAATCTACGTATCTACCGTGAGTTTACTTTAGGAACCACAAATCTGCTTCCTCTGGCTTTCTTGAGCTTCCCATGCAAAGGAGGAGGGGTGTCAGAGTTGGGTTATGGTTTGAGGGGCTGGGACTGGAAGGCAGATTGTCTCCAGTGTGCCTGACCCCAGCATCTAGGCTGCCACCACAGGTGAAGTAACCTAGAACAGCAAGGCCCTGGGCATGGAGGTTGTTCCTGTGGAGGTGCCCAACACAGAGAAAGCGAGTTCAGAGGCTTTGTCTGTAGACATCTAGGAAACCTTCCTCTCCTAGTGAGATTTTGCATCCTGGGGTGAATGTCACCTCCATTCTGGAGCCTTTTATCCTCCTGTGTGACTTGAGGGCTGTTAATCAGTGTCTCCTCTTTACTTGAACCCAAGTTTCTTCTTAGCGCCTGTGACATTGACTGGAATTCTGCCTTGAATCTTACAGAGACACTGATTAAACTATAAATGTTGCCAGGAGGATGACAATATGTTCTGAGATCAAGGAGGCAGAATGAAGTTTGGAGGAAAGTGGGGTGCTAGAGAAAGAGAGAGAAGGCAAGGAATAAAGGGGAGGTAGAAGATGCCATAGATAGCTCTGTCTGCCTTAGCAGCTGCCTCGGGAACTCTGGAAGCACAGGTTGTATGGTGGCTAGGTTTCGTTAGTTTTTGCTTATTTGTTGTTTGGGTGGAGGGGCTCACAGAGGACAGTGCCTGTACCCCAATGTTGAGGAACTTAGCATAACAGACCCGACCCCTGATTACCTCGGGGCTTTGTGTTCCTCCTTCATCCAGGACGGCTGTCGGAACCACGCATCACTGTGAACTCTGAGATCTCTGAGGAAGGTTCCTGTAATATGTCCCTGACATGCTCTGTAGAGAAGGCAGGCCTGGATGTGACCTACAGCTGGATGTCCCAGGAGGATAGCAATGACACAGCACATGAAGGCTCTGTCCTCCACACATTCTGGAGGCCTGGGGACAATGCCCTCTCCTACACTTGCAGGGCCAGCAACCCCATCAGCAACATCAGTTCCCGTCTCATCCCCGTTGGGACCTTCTGTGCAGGTACCAGGAATCCAGACAGCTCTGAGCTACAGCAGGCCCTTAAGACCACCACCTCCCTCCCTCAGTTCTTTTGAAGAGAGTACATGGAATCAAGAACCTAACTCCCTCCCATAGAGACTTCACCTTTGGATTGAGGAGGGAGCTCCCAACTTCCAAAGTCTCTTTTATTCTCTCACTTAGCTTGAGATTGCTCCCCAGATCTCAGTCCCTGGGCTTCCAGAGACACCTGCAAAGGAATATCAACTGACTGTGAACTTGAGACACAACTGTGGGATTTGGGGTAGGTATCATCCGGACCTCGCCCCTCCTGCTGGTGAGCCCCCTCTCCTTTTTTCTTCTGTCCCAGATCCTGGCTACCCTTTGGAGAAGGCCTCAGATTCCTTCTGCCTCCTGACCAAGGTATTGTTCCTTCTCCTGCTCCTGATAACTCTGGCTGTGGGGCTGTGGCTCATCCAAGGCCAGACAAGATGCAAGACGCCAAGGATGAAGAAACTCAGGAGAAACAGAATGAGGCTGAGAAAAAAAGGGAAGCCTGGCCTGGGCCTGGCCTGACTACCCCTGGGGGGGTCCCTGTCCTGACCACTGTATCTTTCCAGAGCCCAAGGAATCCTCCCTCTCTTCCCCATGCTCTACTTTTCCTGGGGCCGACGGTGGGTATCCAAAGGGCCGTACTCTCACAGCGAAGATTGTCTGGCAGTAAAATTGAATTAAGTGACCGCCATTCTGGAGGAGCTGGGTGACTCTGGCCAACCTGTGTTCCTGCCTTTGCTTCTACTCCAGGTTTCCCCTTCTAAGGCCCCATGCTTTCCCATGCCTGCCTTTAGGGGTGGAAGTGAGTCTTCACAATGTGGTGTTAGTGTGTTATTATTTACCATCTATCTCCTTCCCCACCAACACGTAAAACATTTTACACTTTAAATAAGAAAAGCGAGAGATTTCTTCTAATTTTACTAAATCCGTGACTCCTCAATGAGAGCATTGCAGGAACTGAGAGCCCTACGTGGGTGTATTGTTCCTGCTAAGATTCTTCTGCTCTCACAGCTCTATTTCCACCCTGGCAGAGGAGTTCACTTAACTACCCCCATGCAACCCACCCCCATCTAGAAGCTGTGCTGCCTGGGAGACAGGAAACCATTAGTGCAGTTCTACTCTGGGTCTGAGTGAGCCCCGGACCTTTCAGTCATCTCTTTGATGCCAGGAGCTCTGGGTCTCTGGTGCCTACCACAGAGGGGTGATAACTCAGCTGAATCAATAGCTAAGGTCTGGACCCTTGACCTCTGTTTGTGGTTGGTGTTACTGTCTTGTCGGTCCTTGCTCTGTAGATTTCCATGTCTCAGACCTCTCTGGACTCTTGTCCTCGTTAATGCCCACCCCTTACACACTACCTGCCTTGGGCAAAGGCCCTTAAGTTTTTGTTCTTGCTCT